CTTGAAACAACTTCACTGTTGATTCCTTCTGTCTGAATTTTTACAGGTTTAACAAGTTTTTCTAAAGCTGTCATCCTGGCACTTAAATTGACTATCTTTTTAAAATGAGGATAAGCATAGTAATAAACTGCATAATTCGATCAATATTAATCTTCTCATATAGTTGTTCCATTGTCAGCCTGCCTAAAATTTCAAACAAAGTCCAATTTTCTTCCAATGTACACATAAAACCCACTTTTTAATGTGGAAAAAATTTCTCTTTTAAATAGTTTTATTTAAAATATCTGATATGTTGTGACTTACCAAATCTGTGTAGAACAGTAGAAATCCGAGGGAATTTCAAAACAGCCACCTAGTGTCCGAGGTGTAAATCCAGGGAGACAGAGAGAGAGAGAGAGAGAGAGAGAGAGAGAGAGAGAGAGAGAGAGAGAATGCAAGAAAGCGTAGCTGGCTAAAGCTTAAATCCAGCCACATGTTCCCTCTTGAGCTGAGTCAAGGCTTGGCTCTGGTTTCCTTAAGCTCTGACCACGTGCGTTGGTTTTACAGGTAGGGCCCTGTTTGGCAGGGCAGGCCTGAGTTGTTTGTAGCACCGGCTTTAAGCAAGTAGCTCACGGTTAGTCCAGCCTGAGGCCAAGTCGACCTGGGCCCGGGCTAGGGAGCCGGCCACCCTTGCGGGAAACCGGACCTGCCGCCAAGCCAAGTGGATTAAAAAATGGATTCTTGTCACATTGGGCGCCAAATGTAGATGTAACCAACTGTCTTATTAAATAAGAAACACAGAACCAATGTAAAAGAGAAAGCCAAGAGGTCAGAGCTCAGAGCTAAAACCTTACCCTTCCTCCTGCAGTGATCCTACCTCTCTGAAAGAGACCTACTTCCTGTGTGTTTTTCTTCATATAGTCTTTCTGTTCTGCCTTCTCATTGGTTGTAAACTCAAACACGTGACTGCCTCATCACTGCCTATAAGTACAGCCCTCCAGGTCTTAAAGGCATATGTCTCCAATGCTGGCTGTAATCCTAAACACACAGAGACTTACCTAGCTCTGCCTACCAAGTGCTGGAATTAAAAGCATACGCCACCACCACCCTGCTTTCCTATGGCTTGCTAATAGCTCTGACTCCTGGGCAACTTTATTTATTAACATACAATTAAAATCACATTTCAGTACAAATAAAATACCACCATAAGCACCTGTCAACATGGCATCTTTCCAAGAGAGGTCAATGGCCAGGTATTTACACATACACATAAACATCAGGTCTCTAGTGAGGAATGGCACATTTTTGCTCTGCTGATGTGATGGTAACTGAAAATTGATGAAATTCACAAGTGGTTGAATCAGGACTTGAGCTTGGATCTGGGGTAGACTGGGAATGCTGGGTAAGATCTGCATGACATTGGCCACTGCCCAACCTCCAATACTCTCTCCACAGAGAACCACCTGGGATGGGTCCACCCCAAAGGATTCCAGGTTCTTCAGGAAGTAGATGGAAGCATTCAGGCAATCTTTGGCAAGGGCAGGGTGATGGTAGTCAGGAAGCTTGCAGTACCTAAGGAGGAAAGAACAAACACAGCAAGCTTCTTTACAAAGGGGTCACAAAGGCCATTTCAATCACCATCATCTACTCTCCAAAGGACCAAACCTGACTCCATCCTCAGAGTGATCCTAACAAGTAAGCATAGCAACCCCCACTTTTCCTTCATGCACTTGAGGAACCATGAAGATCAGGGATCCCAGGATGCTCCATTCCCACCAACACTGTGCTTCCCATAGATGAGCACACCCCACACAGAATACGGAAAGTTCAAACATCATTGTCTTAGAAAACCAGCAAAGATCCAGGAAAGGCTACTGTGGCCTTCTGGTCCCACCTCTTCCTGGATTCATCTTTTCCTGATGTGCTGGGCACATGAGGAGCACTGTTAAAAACCAACCCTTAACACACTTTAAATCTACACCAGTGTTTGTAATGAGGCATTTGTTCTTATTTTCCTGTGGTCAAACAAAAGTTTCAGATTAGGCAACTGGACTCCTTAGTGGGGAGCTCTTAGACTCCTGCACAAGGCTGCATTCAGAAAATGACCGTTAGTCAAGCAGCCAGCTAGACTTACAACAACACTGGTTACTTTGAACACCATACAAACTCTGAATAAACTACACAATAACTGTGACCACGCGCCAGTAAAACACAACTCTAGCTCTTGAAGTTGCAGCACCAGCCAAAAGTGTTTTAAACACTTTCCTTCTGATATGAACCCAGAGAATGGGAATTTCCCAGGTCATCTACCTAGCAGAGGGACTCTGGCCTAGTACAGAAGGGACAATAGAATGATGCCTCTCATAAACATGGTTGTATGTGAGGGTCTGCTGACACTGGAGCACACTCTCTTTTCTGATTGGATTAGCAAGCTCTTGTGCTCATTTTGGGAGCCAGCTGGGAGGCATCTCCTTATGTTGGCTGCCTCCTAGGTTTCCAACATTACACCTAACAAATGGCTCTCACTAGAGGGTATTTCCTGGCTGCTTTTGTAGAGCAGACCGAGCCGGCCACCAGAAAGAAGTAGTGGTGGCAGTGACAGCAGAGAGTGCAGAACCACAGAAGAGCTGAGCCATGACAGCGGCAGAGCCACAAGGGCCACTGATGGTTTGACAGCCATGATGACTGGCCCTTGGAGGAAGCCAGAAGCCTTGAGAACAGTGGTAGCAGCATCACAGGAACTACCCGGTGGCCAGGACAGGAGCAGAGGTGAGGCCTCAGCAATGGCAGTGATGGGGAGCAGAGAAGCAGTGTTGACAAAAGAACTCGATCCAACAGCAGACAGACAGAAAGGGAGACAGAGGCAGCAGTGGCCACAAGGGAAACGAAAGCAGGAGAAACAGCAACTGTAGCTTTAAAGGGCAGAGGGTGTTAGACCCTCCATGTCAGGAACTGTGAATGAGCTATTGTCAAGGCCTGGGGAATTCTGAGCTCCTAGACCTACAACAGGAAGTGTATATACAAAACATCCCAAGGTCAGGGATTCTTTCCATGATCTAAAGTCACCCAGCCCATTCCCAAGCATATATATGTCACCAAATATCTCAGGCCACTCACCCCACCATCAGTACCACTGAGTTTGTCTTGTGGGCCAGGAAGCTGCCTATGCCATGGTAACTGTCTGCAAGAGAAAACACAGGCCAAAGCAGCCATGAAAAGCGTGACACATCAACTGCAGCCCCAGGGACAAGAGCTGCTCTGATGGCCATGAGTATCTGTCTCCATTCCTCTGACATGACCATGGCCAGCTCTATAAGGCAAAGCCATACATCATCCCCCATCTCCTGAATATGGCCACAGTGGACCTTAAGGCTCACTTTATATGTCATTGGATTTTCTAGTAGGGTCAAATGAGGACCTGGAAGATTTGTAGATCTAAAATGGACAAAGTAAAGATGTGTATGGCAAGACAGGCCTAGAATACTAATAATTTTATATATTTGTATTTACTAGGAGATAAGTGATCACTAGATGGTACAGGTAAGTCAATAAAATAGTATATCTGAAATCCTAGGAGAAAATTCTGTTAAAGTTAGTAGTTACCACATGCCACCTTGGTTTAACACAGAATATGCCAAATGTATCCCCAGATCAGCCCTGTCTATTCACAGCTTCTGGCATACAGAAGGGCTGGACAGCCTTGCCCATCATCTACTCAGGCTATCTAGTCTCACTGATTCAGCATCACTGGGAAAAGAACTCAAGCACCACACTTTTGTCTTTTTTTTCATACCTACCACTACAGAACATTTTATTTAATGGGTTTTATTTGTTCTGTTTTGTTTTTTACTTGCTTGTTGGCTTGGCTTTTTGTCCAGGGGCTCCAGCTGAGCCCAAACTGGTAAACCTTCTGCCTCAGTCTTCCAGAATGTTTTTTAAGCCTGAGAAGCAATAAGAAGACCAATGGTCAGCAGCTCAGCATGTCTGCTATGCAGAGCAGTTCAGAGGCTGAAGCATAGTAATGGCAGGAGGCACAGGTGACTGGTGGACAATGTGGTCTAGGGCTTAGGGAAGGCTGAAGTGATGACAATGGCCGAAGGTATATTTTTTAAGGATCCTTCTAGTGGATAGAGAGGACCAGGCTATGCAGTGAGAACTGGAGCAAAGCTACCACTTTAGGGGTACAGAAATGAATGTAGTAGTGAGCAAGAACAGACGGGTTTTCATCATAGTGGCCCAACCAAGCTGAGGGAAGCACGTGAATTTGGATCATCATGAGACTGACAGAAACAGCTGATGCCTCTGAATCGAAAGGAATGGGTGGAAGCATACCCAGCGGCAGGACAACCACGGGGGATGCTGCTGCCCCATCTGGACTTAAAGTGTAATAGAAAACATTGTCATGGAGACTATACCATTGACTGATATGAACCCAAGCCTTCAACCCATCCTCCCCAACAGAAGTTCCAATTTCCACTTGCCCCCCTCCCCTCATGGGAATATGTGAAAGACTCCACCTGTTGTGAGGACCTTCCTCTCCCATCCCACATGGAATCTACTCACTCAGGCTACCAAACAGGGTGCCTCCTCCGTGGTAGAAGATGATACCTCGCTGGAGCTTGGAGGACACTGCCTTGGGCTGGAACAGCCTCACAGGGATTGTCCCAAAATGCATGTTGGTCACCACCAAGGCAGAGTCCTTCTTTATGACCAAACTATCATGAAGAAACTGGACAAATCTGGGCATGGAGCAAATTCTCAGCTTCTCTAGTATATCCCCCTGTTGGGGGCAAAAGAAGGAAAGTGAGATGTAAGAGAGTGCAGCGTGGGTGTGTAGACACTGAAGCCACCTAGTATTGCTCAGGTGTACTTCCATTTCTCATCTGCCTCCTGTATATGCAGTAGACTCAAGGGGACATAACCGGCTGCAGGCTTTGCCCAGAAATGGGACTGGTTTTCAGAACTTTGATCTCAGAATTCCTATTGAATGATTATGTTTCTGTGATACGAGTGTCTGTACCCTCTGAACTCGGGTTGAAATGCAATTTGTCATTGTTAAGAGTTGGGCAGTTTGAGTGGTTCTGGGGTGGTACTCTTGTGTGTGTACTAAGTCTATTATTGAGGAACTTGGATGAATATCTCCAAAACAGACTCTTGAGAAGTGAGAGTCCTGGGTATTCTGTCTTATGGATACAGGCACACTTATATTTCCACCAATGCATGATACATGACCCCATTTCTAACACCATGCACTTGACTTCTCAAATTGCAAAAACCATAAGACACACTAACTTCTCTGGTCTGTGATATTGTTAGAGCAGAAGAGAAAATACTAAAACTTTACCAGAGATAAAACCCAGTGTGTGGATGTGTGCAAAGAAGTCCCTGAATGGAACAAAGCCAACTGCGAAAGGCAAGGGACATAACTTCATTCATTCTTTCCCTCTATATGGGACTAGCTGTACTTGACCTGTAATGGCAAAGACAATTTGTCATTACATCAGCACTCATCATTGTAAGTCTAGAGCTCTGGGTTATGAAGGATTCCCTAAGCACTGTTTGTGTTCAATGTGAAGTAGAAATGTCACTTACTAATCCATGCACATATGAACACCTGGTTTTTGACAAAGGAGCCAAAACTATACAATGGAAAAAAGAAAGTATCTTCAACAAATGGTGCTGGCATAACTGGATGTCAATATGTAAAAGATTACAAATAGATCCATATCTGTCACCAAGCACAAAACTCAAGTCCAAGTGGATCAAAGACCTCAACA